CTGTTAAATTGATGATGGCCCAAGGCTTGAGTGGCGTGTCATTTAAACGCTGTGAGTGCAAGACCTGTATATAATACAAGAGTAAACATATTAATGTTGGATTCAATACACTTTTTAACAATGAAATCTGTAATGTATTTGACTAATAAAACGCAATATTAAGATACTTTTTTGTTCTGTTTTGCTTTGATTACATTTATTGCTCATATTTGTATAAATACTTTCGACACAAGCATCTGTGTAATGATTTGCAAATGTAAATATTACATTGTATTTAGATATTAGAAAACTGCAATACACATTTAGATTTTATTACTCAATGATAGTGTTCAAACTAAAGCAATGTATATTGGAAAATTATTGGAACACTATTAAACAGTAATACATTCTAATTATGTATTGCAATGTTCTAATATATAACAACAATCTAATATTTACATTTACAAATCATTACACAGATGCTTCTGTCGAAGGTAATTTTACAAATATGAGCGATAAATGTAATCAAAACAACATTTATTTAAATATTCTGGACAAATACTATGACATTTTGTCATTTATATTATTATTATTTACAATATTATCAGCTTACCTTTGCTGTTACAACTGAGTTGTCACAGTCTGTCTGTAGAAATGAGTACAAATCCTGTACCCAGCCGTTTGTGAAGTGTCCATGGGCTTCTAAAGACTTGTAGTTTCTAAACTGTTCACTTGTGTATGCACTTACACCATAAACAAGGTAGTTTACGATGTCCAGGTAGGAAGTAGGAGGAAGGAAAGAGGGGTCGGCACTCCATTGTTTTGAAGTAATTTCGTATGGATCGATGTCCTGAATAAAGGACAGTTTTTCAAAATAGCGATCTTTGGCATTTTGGTTAAGTTTGTTGCGGTACAACGTCCTCTCCGTTTTCGTGTGTTTTTCTATCCAGATGTATACAAAACTTGTACGGCGCTGTTTTGTCTCTCGAGAGTTGTTGTGTTGTTCATAGAAACGATACCACCAAAATGGCGCACGTGTGACGTCACAAACAACAAACGCACGTGACTGACAATGACCGATTGCACCCAAACTCTAGAACTCTCTACCACGCTCACTCCGCTCTGCTAATAATATCTCTGAATTCAAATCCCGAAGATTTGATTTTATTACAAGAGACAAACTAGAGGGAAGAATGCATGAAGGAAATAAGAAAAAGGTGGAGTGGGGAGATTTTATACAATGATGGGGATGGGAGGCAAGGGAGAGGAGTTGCAATTTTAATAAAAGAAAACAGTGGGTTTTATGTAAAACAATATATAGTGACAAAGAGGGGAAGTGTATGGTATGTGAAATAAAGTATGAAAAGAATAAAGTAATTATGGTGAACGTTCATGCCCCAACAAAGGAGTGCAAAAAGAACGAGTATTTTAATGTACTTAGAGATTATTTAAAGAAACACGAAAGAGTTATTATCATGGGTGATTTTAACACTGTTTTTAGTAAATTAGAAATGGCTGAGGGAATGGTTTTTAAAACGGAAAAGGGGAGAAAAGAACTGAAAATATTGATGGAGGAAATGAATTTAATTGATGTGTGGAGAGAAAGGAATGAACAGACAAAAGAGTACTCAAGAAGACAGTTAGTGGGGAATTTTTGTTGTCAAACAAGAATTGATTTTATTTTATGCACAAGAAATGTTGAAGGGTTTATAAACAAGATTAAATATGAAGAAACAAGTCTGAGTGACCATAAGCCACTTTTTATGAAGCTAGACTGGAGTAATGTGAAAAGAGGGCCATGGGTATGGGTTTTAAACACAGCGGTTTTAAAGAATGAAGAGTAATTAAGTGTAAAGGAAATTATTCAAAAGGAAAAAGGGAATGAAATCTATAATGAGGACAAAAGAATGTGGTGGGAGAACGTGAAGTATTTAGTTAAAAAGTTTACGATAAAATATTGTAGACAATTACAAAATTGTAAAAAATATAAGGAAAAGGAGCTGAAAGAAAAACTAGAAAACGAATTGAAAAATGAGAATGGAAAAAATATACAAAAGATAAAAGAACTGCAAGGAAGATTAAATGAAATGGAGGAGGAGAAATTTGAAGGTGCAAGATTAAGAAGCAAAGCAAAGTTTACAGTGGAGGGGGAAAAGTGCACTAAATTTTTCTTTGATCTAGAGAAGAGAAGAGAGAAGTCAGAAATGATTAGAGAAATAAGGAGCAAAAATGGGAACATAGTAGAACAACATGAGGAGATTTTGGAAGAAATAAGATCATATTATGAGAAATTGTTTTGCACAGAGGGGATAAAAGAAAAAGAAAAAGGGGAATTACTAAATCTAATAAAATCAAGAGTAGAAGAAGGGGAAAAAAGAAGAAGAAGAAGAAATAAAAAGAGCAATTAGTGGATTGAACAAAAAGAAAAGTCCAGGAATAGATGGGTTGGGAAGTGAATTTTATATTGTTTTTAAAGATATTTTATCTAGGATTTTAAAGCAAGTATATGATGAAATTCGAGAAATCATTAAATGTTACGGTTTAATTAAGTTGTCTGGGGAAAATAAACGTAACACTTATAATATTAAATTATTTCTGAGTAGATGGATGGAAAATACACCAGGACACCAAAATTTACATTCAATTCATTTATTCCTTTTATGAGGAGAAGAAAAATGAAGCCAACAAAAGAGAGGCTTACATGTGTGCGCTTTGTACAATGTATATATAATAATAAGAAGAAGAAGAAAAGAAGAAGAAATACAATCAAAAGTTATAGGGGAAAAAGGAACTAGAGTGGCGCCAAAGCAAAGAACTAAACAAAACCAAAAGCCACCTAAACTAGAACACAAGATCCCCCTCTAAACTTACTAATAAAAATCAAAATGTGAAAAAGAAACCAAAATCTTCAGCGTTTGCGAAGCAACACCTAAACTCCCTGAAATAATAAGCAAAAATACAAAATGTGGCGCTCACCCACTTACCTAGTGTTTCTGAACATTGAAGTTACCTACGGGCAAAATGTATGTGAAGTGGCTTAGTAAACTATTCCCTTTTCCCCAAAAAAGAATGATAAACTATTTAACCATGACTTAATTTACATTGATGTAGTTATTCAGAAACACAGAACAAAGCATACATTATAAATAACAGCAAGCGAACACAAACCAACACGCACACACATAGCACTCTGAAAAACAAGGCGGGCTGGTCGAATTTAAAGTCCGTGGAACGAAATCCAATTGGTCCACGAGGAAACGCCCTAATGAGGAGTGACAGGCACGGGATCCAATCAGCAGGTACCTAGTAGAGAAAAAGTAGCGGAACAAAAGGTGATAGGGCGAGACAGAGCGAATGACAGTCGAGGAGATGCGAAGAGAGCGAAGGGAGATAAGCAAAACAGAGAGGGAGAAGGCACAAAAATACAAACTCCCACGGACCGTAACAATCATCCTCCAGCCCCGGGCTACCTCTCGTAAGCAGGGTGAGAGAGGAGTTTGAGCTCAGGTAGATCTTGATGAACTCCCCCGACTTGTTTCTGTTCTAATGACAGATATCCAGATGGCTAAAGGGAGATATATGGCTTCTAAGAGCTTGACTACGGTGCCAATTTAGAATGTTCAGTTTACTTAGGTTACGTGTTTTTGGGCTGTGGAAGGAAACTGGGGAAAACCCATGTGAGCATGGGGAGAATAAGCAAACTCTCCACAAATATCAACCAGTTCAGTGAGGGCTCTTCTTGCTGTGACAATCTTTCTGTGAGGCAACAATACTAATCACGGGGCTGCTGTGTTGCCCATTCTAGAAAGGAGGAGTAGGGGTGGGAGGGAATTTCCTCAAGATAAAGATAATTAAGGTAAGAAACTCTGGTTATTTATAGTGAGTTAGGAATCGTCTGATTGGTGAATCGTGTGTTGGTTAATGTGGAACCAGCCGTGGACAATCATAAGCATGTGATCCTCTCGAAAGTAGTTTATAAATAAACCTCACGTCAATTAACAGCCAAACTACATGAAAAGGCTGCTGTTATGAATATACTCGTGTTTGTGTTGACAAGGCCTTAATTTTGAGGACTCTGCTCTCCATTGTGAAGCTCCATGTGATTGCTGAGGCTTCTTTTATGTTTAAAGCCCTTTCCACACTCAATGCATATAAAACGCTCTCGTGAGTGAGTCTTCATGTGGTTCTTTATGGAGTATTTGTGTGTGAGACTCTTTCCACACAGATCACATGTGAACACTATGGTTCCAGTGTGACCATTCATGTGGTTCCTGAGGTTAGCTTTACATGTGAAGCTCTTATAGGCGCAAAAAGAGCTTGGTTTTCCTCCAGACCACCAAAATTAAATATTCTCAAAGGAATATGATCTGATTTTGAGCCAAAACCTCAGACACATTCTGGGAACACCAAAGACTTATTTTCAAAAAAATAAAAAATAATAATATTAATAAGTTTTTCTTAAAAAAAAAAATAATAATAATAAAGGTTCATAATAGGAACCCTTTAAAGATATTTATGAAACAGAAATGAAAATAACCTCACCATTTACTATACCTCTTGTGGTTTTTAACCTTTATGGGGTTTGTTGATTCTGTTGAACACAAAAGAAGATATTGTGAAAACAAATGTTAGCTTTCTTTGTGTTCCAGAAGAAAGGAATTGTTTAAAAGCAAATGAGAGAGTAAATGGTATGGTCATTTATATTTGTGGGTGAAACATCCATTTCATGCTTATCGCTTTGAGTCTTCATACTAAAGTTAACTTCTTCTTTTTTTTTTAAGACCTGATGTTGCTGAAAGAAAAGACTCATCAACAGAATGAAATGGAAGAGATACAGCAAGACATGACGACTGATGAAAAACCTACACTGACGAAAAAGACTTTGTCACGTGGAAGACCTCGGAAATCCAAACCTAGGTGTAATTTCAGCTGTAAACAATGTGGAAAAAGTTTCAGTCAAAAGCCAAAGCTTGATGTTCACATAAGAGATCACACTAGGGAGAAAGCTTATACTCACAGCAAATTCATTGGTGTTAAATTTCAAGTGTTGTGGTAATTCAGAGTAAAGTGTTAAAATTCTAGAGTTAGATATCTACCTTTGTAGAAAACCCTTGTATTTGAGAAACTAATCAGAGTGTCTGAAATCTCGCCACACCCTCATTCACCTGGCCCTTAAATTAGTCAATTAGTTTAGTCAACTAGACAGAGGGAATGACCACAAATAAGTGAATTCAGACAGCTGCTGTTGAACACCTGCTGTTAACAAATACAATCACTGAAGGAATAAGAAATTGAAGGAAGAAATGAAACTACAGACACAGCCTCACACCAAACCAGCTGAATTAAAACAGAGGATTAAACAACTCCATTAAATAATAGCATAAGCAGCTTCACTGATTACAGTTTGACTTCAATCTGTAAGAATATTTGACAATGAACAGAGGTTTATTTATTTTTTATTAAAAATATTTCATTTGACCTCACCATCATAGAGATCAGAGGCTGCTTATTTGAGCTCTTGAAGCTTTACTCTTATATCCTAATAATTCTCTGACTGTTATAGCTGTGTTTCTAAAATGCATCAGTTATAGAAAGAAAGGTCAAGAGAAACTATACTGTTTATGCCTAATTATTATAGATTTAATTTCAGGTGTTTATTAAGTTGATTCATAAAGATATTCAAATATAATTGAATTAAAACTGCATGGGACAATACTTCTGGTAGTCTGCTGCTCTTCATAGAAAATTCAACAAACAATTAGGATGCAATTAATAATTAAAGTGTCACGCACTAAACATTCAAGCTCCAGCTTGCTATTTATGACACACAGGCATCAAGAATCAGGACATGAACCTCAACCGTGGTTGCTAAAAAACAAAAGCTGCATAGTTCATGCTGCAATGCATGCTGGGTGCCAGCATAGTACAAAGCTCCCAGCATGCATTGCAGCATGAATAAATTATGCAGCTTTATGTTCTTACAATCTCTTTCTTTTCCTTTATTTTGTGTTGTTTTTGGGAGGTGATATTTCAGTAGTGTTTTTTTTTTTTACTTGATTTTTATTTTTTTGTTTGTCACCATTATTGAGATTCAAAGACTAATTATTGATGTCTGTGTGTTTTTGAGTTCTGCCATAGATCAAACATTCTCATTGTAAATATTGTTTTTATTTTATTAAAGCTATAGTGGTTTCATTTATGTATATTATTTATTTCTCACACATAACTAATATGATATTGAATTAGAAAACAAGCAGGAAAGGTTGGCTATGTTATCATTAATAATCTCTTCAGACTGACACTTTAATTTTCTTTCAGCTTTCCATGCTATATGTATAAATAGTGTAATTAGCACTAACTATAGCAGCCAAATTAAAGACATTTATAGTAAGAAGTTGAAGAACCTGACTAAAGCAGACTCTGTCCTCCATCATGGTGACTTCAAATGAACAACGGAAATTTCATTAAGAGCTTTTGTTCACATGACAGAAATAAAATCAAAGGTCAGTAATAGGTGAAGCTCCATGATAAGTTGTTTAATGTGATGAGTTTTTTTAAAGATGTTGAAAAATAACATTTTTTATTGTGTAATTTGTTTTATTTTTATTGATTATTATTTTATTTAGAGTTTTTTTTTTCTCAGTTGATTTCATCTTTGGTTTTGGCTTGTGTTTTTCTGTCCTTCAGTGATTCTGCTTGTTAACAGTTGTTCATCAACAATTCTCAATCCTCCTTTAATTAGACACTTAATTGTCTCATTAACTTCATCACTGTCTGAGTGTTCAGCCCTCTGTAGTGAGGACACTAGTTAGGATTTTGCTGTGGAATTTAAGGCTTAAGTGTGTTCGAATGAAAAATACAGACTATGGGATTTGTTTTTAACAGAAATATTCTGGAAACTGAATTTACGAATGTAAAATGTTGAAAACAGCAGATTTCTGGCAACCACTGCTGCCAGTATTTTGACATACATTTAACAGATATTTTACACAATAAGAGTTTGCTAATTAACACTCTGGGTGTTAAAAATTTTAACACTTTCAAAAATGTTATTTTAACACTTATAGTGGTTCCCATATAAACACTGAGGGAGTGCTAATTTTAACTCTAAGGTAGTTAAATCTACCAAATCTAAAATTTGCAGTGTGAGATCGATAAAAAATACAGACTGTTGAATGTGCTTTTAACAGAAATATTCTGTAAACTGAATTTATGAATGTGAAAAACAGCAGATTACTGGCAACCACAGCTGCTGGTATTTTTTCGGAAATTTAACAGATATTTTACACAATAAGAGTTTGTTAATTAACACTCTCTTGGTGTTGACAATGTTAACACTTTCAAAAGTGTTATTTTTAACACTTATAGTGGTTCCCATATAAACTCTGAGGGAGTGTTAATTTTAACTCCAAGGTAGTTAAATCTACTATCTAAAATTTGCAGTGCATTTGCCATTAGGGCTTTGGTTATAAAAAGGCATCCTCAAAACCAACAGTTTCAACAAAATGGAGAATGTGTTCATAACACTGACTGATCGCCAAGGAACATTATCATTAACTGTCTCCAAAGAAATTGCAGAAAAAATAAAGCAAGGTAAGAACATAAATAAAATTCATTGACTATCTAGTACTAATACTTTGATTTTTGTAAATTAAACTTTTTAATTGTCATTTTATTTTATAGATCACAAATATGCAGCATGTCTAATGCAGCAAGTGAGATCTGCAACACTGAAAGAAGGTAAGGTTGTTGGTAATCACAATTTTTAAATTCTTATAAGATTTATTAATTTAAAATTTTTTTTTATTTTGCAGATAGTAGTCATCATCCAGCCTCTTTGGCACCATGTCCCCCTTTAGCTACAAGTCATTGTACAGTGTCTTTGACCAAATGCCCTCCGCCTCCAGTCATTACTCTTTCAGTCACGATCCACAATCCTACACCTTTGTCCCAGTGCCCCCCTCCAAAGATCACTCCTGGTCCAGCATTTGTTAAATGTTCTGGTAAAACAAAAACCATAGATCTCACTAAAGCCCCACAAGGACCCAATCTTCAGATACATTTAAAACAGACAGAATGCGACAAAATCCAAGGTATGTTCCATTTCAAAATGCATATGTAATCTTTCTGTAAAGCTTTTTCTAAATTACAAATTGTTTTCACAGAATTCACACACAGGACCACACTGCTGCTGCTTGACCTCACACAAGCAAACATGCAGTTATATTATAAAAACAAAATTGCTTTTTATAAAAAGATTGAGCAAGACTTTAAAGTAAATGGTTACAATATGACTAATGAGAAACTTAGAAAAAAACTTGGTAACATGATTACCACGTATAAAAGAGCTAAGGACCGGTGCCGAGCAACAGGGGAGGAAAAAATAACTTGGGAGTACTACAAGGTTGGCATTCTTTATGTATTTCAACTGCTGCAGAATGATTTGGTTGACTTTTTAAAATATTTTGCATTAATTTGTTTTTATATACTTTCTCACAGAAAATGGAGGAGTTATTTGGTAAATGTGGTGTTGGGAGTGCACCACCTGGCACAATCTGCTCAACTACTCTGTTCAAAACATCCGTGACAACAGCTCCACAGTCTCTGATACCAGCATCAAGTTCAGAAGAACATCTTCCTCCAAATCAGCCTGGTCCCTCCACTGCTTTCCCCTTTAAAGAGAGACCCCAGAAGAGAGTTGGAAGCTTTTATATGATGTTTATGAGGCACATGCAGAGAGAAGAACCGCTGCATTAGAAGCAGCAGTGCAGCCTCACTTGGACTGCCGAAGAAGGCTCAAAGAAAAAAGATGAAGGGTGTTTGAAAAGAAAACTCTAACCTGCCTTTCAGAAATAGTTCAACAGCTAAAACAAATCAACAAGTCGCAAGAAATGATAATTGAGTTATTAAAAAAATAAAGCATAAATATAAACCCACTCCCATGTTTATTTTTTATTGGTCAGCACACACCATTATTATAGTTTAAAGATTTTCTTTCCAAAATAAAACTAATAACATCACTTTTTTTTCATGTCAGGAGGCAAAATTATATATATATATTTATTATTATTAAATTTTTTTTTTATAACTGTTTAATATTATTCTGTACAATCCCATCTACCATTTCACAAAAAAAAAATGAAAATCCTTTGTGCAAAAGAAAAGTGTATTTTTATTTTTTAAGGCAGAGTGGAAGGGAAAGTAATGCTTACAGGAGGCCACAGATTGAGTCCCTATACTGCAACACATCACCGGGAATGTGGCCTTCTGATGGATATGGTTCATCCATATCATTGGCCTGCTCATCAGCTGCTATGTCACTGCATTCCAGGCACATATTATACAAAATGCAGCATGCTGTGATTGCAGAAGATATGTTCTTGAGATGTTTCATTTGTAGACATTTGAGCCGCCTAAATTTTGTTTTTAGGATGCCAAATGCATGCTCAATCACAACACGAGCAGAATTCAATTTCCTGTTAAAACGCCTCTGTCTAACTGTCAAGTGGCCATTGTCCCTGTATGGCTTCATTAGTTGAGGGGAAAGCGGGTATGCTGAGTCACCAATTATATGCATCCCCTCTGGAACCAGGGAATGTGGATCTTCCTCAAGAAGGTGACCCACTTCCGACAAACGAAAGGCCCTTGAGTCATGCCAGCTACCAGAGTGACCCACACTGACATGACAGAAGCGCCGCTGACTGTCACAGAATCCTGTAAGAATAACAGAATAAAACTGTTTTCTGTTAATGTAGGCCACAGGATTGTCACAGTGAGGTTTTACAATGAGAATGTGACATCCATCAACAGCACAGATGGTTTTCGGGAAGCCAGCTGTTTCAAATCCCAACTGTGATACATGCAGGGCTTGTCCTCTAGGCCAGGAGATATGGTGAGCCAAATGATTTATTACAAGAGAACAGAACCCATGCAGGTGTTTTGAGACAGTGGATTTTGTTAGATTAAATCTGTCTGCCACTCCTCTAAAGGACTCTTGATTGGAAAGAGTCCATAGAGAGGCAAGTATACTGTCTGTGAGTGGCACCTTGGTCTGATTCGCATTCATGTAAATCGGGCCAAGTGCATTTATAAGCTCCTGCATTAGGAATAGAATAAAATATGATTAACATAATACAAACAATGCTTTTGTATACAACAGCACATAAGTTGAAGCCAACCTATCCATTGGTCCAAGGCTAAATTGTTTTAATGTATAATTTCATGCATTTTCTGACATAATATAGTAAATGTAGATAAAACAACCCAGAACATTGCTTGGAGATTTTTTTTTTTTAATGGGTGAATAAATAAATGAACACATATACACACACACACCAATGAGAACGGTGTGTGTATACAATATATACACATTTTAGTGCTGTACCAAGATTAATAAAAATTTGTATTCACATAATATTTGTTTGTGCTCACTGTGTATATTTATTGTGTATATATAAATGCATTATACATTTAAGTGTGTGTGTATGTATATATATATATATATATATATATATATATATATATATATATATATATATATATATATATAAAGTTTATACACCTATCTACCATACATACCTCCACATGGCCTCTAGAAAGTCTGAAATGACTCTGAAACTCAGAGGGACTATATAGATGGACCACTTGATCAACAAAATGCTGAATTCTAGGGACATTCCTAGCAAAAACACAACCAAATTTTGTCAGACAAAAGCAACATGACTTAATGATCTTAGAATTCTTTTTTTTTTTTTTATTTAAGTAATGAGCACTTTTCACCTTTGGCAATTTTGACCATCTTCATGTAATAACAGTGGTATTTTGATTGCGTCCACTACACAAAAAACGCGAACGCGATCTCCTCCATTGCTGACGTTTGCAGCCGGCAACACAGCAAGATTCGAGTAGTGTCCGACTTCAAATGACGCTTTTAAACCCTCCTCTTATTGACGCCGCCTACTCTCGTCTACATTGCAGTCAAGGCAAGGCGCACCTCAAACGAGCCTATTGACGTTATGTGAGAGTGCAATTGTTATTGATTGGTGATTGTAAACAGAGCGGCCGAGGAACTCATTGCGAGTGTTGAAGCTGGTTTCAGCTGATAAAACTGCAAACTATCTTCAGTAAACTTGATTTATTTATTTAAATCTCTGACTCCGGCTCTTTTTTAAATACCCGACTGGTCATTCTTTGGGTTAAACTGTATACCATCCCTACAGTTTTGGTGGAGGACGCGTGGCACTTGTTTACTGGTGACACCATTGATCAATCAACAAAAAGAAATGTAGGAAGATTTAAAATATTATAGACTAGGGGTGGTCTGTGGAGTAGTGGGTACACAGCAAATTCATTGGTGTTAAATTTCAAGTGTTTTGGTAATTCAGAGTAAAGTGTTAAAATTCTAGAGTTAGATAAAGGTAAAATAACCCTCTCGGCGTTAGAAGCTGATTTGCCTCCTTGTCACACAGAGTAACATGTATCTACCTTTGTAGAAAACCCTTGTATTAGAGAAACTAATCAGAGTGTCTGAAATCTCGCCACACCCTCATTCACCTGGCCCTTAAATTGGTCAATTAGTTTAGTCCACTAGACAGAGTGAATGACTATGTAAATAAGTGAATTCAGACACCTGGGGCCTGTTTCAGAAAGGAGGTTAAGTGAAAACTCAGAGTAGTTTAACCCTGAAATGAGAGAAACTCTGGGTTTTCCGTTTCAAAATGGCAGGTTTGTTAAACTGGACAAAGCAGGGTAAGTCAAGCCTGTTTCTGAAAGAAAGGTAACTTTAACTTAGAGTCAGTTACCGTGGTAACTTACTCTGTGAATCTAACTTGGTCCAGAGCAGGTTTTATTCTCTAAACTCTGAGTTTCTGTCGGTCTCCTCCCCTTTTTTAAAGATGAAGCGGTGTTTCTTGCCTTAGCCTTACGTCTCCACACACCTATTTTAGAGCTCATTTTGGAGATGTGCATAAAAACGATTGATGGAAACGTCGTGATTCACATAACTTTTGAAAAAAATGCATAATAAAACATGTGCATAACTGAGTATTTTAAACTTTTATTTGATAAGAAAAGATGTGCATAAAATATGAAGAAAACACTTAACAAATTACAGTATGTGCATTAAAAAAAGGTTTGTTAGAGATGAGGATGAAAATGTGTGTGAATAGACAAACCAGCAGACTGAGGAAAGGACATCTTAAATGTTGTTTTGGTCATTCTAAAATGCCTTAACTGTTTCAGTATTAGTGTATATTAGTAATTACCTCCGAGCGTCTGGAGCATGTCAAGATCTCCGCGTCTCATGGCTTCAAATGCCCCCACGTGATCATTGTGTGTCAGCATTGTCTTCTGAGGCGCAAGTACATTAATTAAATAAAAAATCATTGCCACAGCTTTTTCTACCACAGTAAATTTTGTTTTTACTGTTGATATTTGGCGCAAGTTAATCAGGAAGTGACGATTTTGTTCTCTTTGACTTGTTGGATGAAAACGCTGCTTTATTCACATCTTCTAGGCGTTATTTCAGTTTTGCACGAATTTATGTAATATATTTTGATGGAAACAGATATTGCCTACATTTTTGTCACACAAAGATCAAAGTCGCGAAAGAGAATGGCTTGTCCTTTTTCATTAATAATTAGCTTAACCTTTGACATGTACTATTACTAGATTAACGGGATTTTTATTTTTTTTAAAGTATTTTTAGCACTGCTTACCTTCTAAATGTTATATCAAACTCTATCACTTGATCAATAAAAAGGCAGACACACAAGTGCACTGTTAAATCTATTAAAACTGATAAACGTGTATAAAAGTTTAGAAACATTTTATAAACGTCACACATTATATTACTTATTTTATTATAAATATAAATATTTAAATACTTTAAATAAAAAATTATGCATTAACTTGAGCAGCTGTTTTCTCACGCTGTCTCTGTTTCACTGATAATTGCTTCTTTTTAAATATATACGCTCATATTTGCTATAACTTTGCATTAGCAGATCAAATTCAGCCGGAGAAAGAAATGCTGATCTCTTTTTTTAAGATGTTGCCATGGTCACTCGTAATATCTGCGCTCCATTGATAATGCCTATTTATAGTCACGGTGTGCGCGCTTAACTCTGAGATGGTCTACTCAAAGTTGATTGACCCAACTCAGATCAGCTATTCTGAAACCGAAAACTCAGAGTTTTTAATCTCTCGGTAAATCAACTCAG